GCAGCGCGTTTTTTGTGTTTGCTGCGCGTTTTTTGTGCTTGCAGCACGTTTTTTGTGTTTGCAGCGCGTTTTTTGTGTTTGCTGCGCGTTTTTTGTGCTTGCAGCGCGTTTTTTGTGTTTGCAGCGCGTTTTTTGTGTTTGCTGCGCGTTTCCGTATTTGCAGCGCCTGTGTTGTCAAACGGATGGAGACGTTTTCTTAATTTGTTGTGTTTTTTTTATGTTTGCATGTGTTTTCTTGAAGTTGCAGCGTGATGAGCTCTCTCGGCCACCGTAAATAAGGATCTCAAGTTTCATCCAAAGTTTGGCGTGAGATCACGTCTGTTACGGGCGAAACGTGTCTCACGATCAATGCGTCAGACTTGGGAGCCCTGATAGGAATATGAATTAGATGAGTCAATGCAAGATATAGATATTTAAACCATCATTTTATATCCACTTCGGTCAAATAATATATAAATTGCAATTTGTTAGCCTAATCGTTAATAATATAATTGTTGAAGTTTTATAGATTTGATTAGATTGTATAGATATAAAACAGCACATTACTATATACTTTATCGAAGCAACCGAAAATACTATTTTTGACTCATTAGTTTTACACCCATGAACAAATATTAGGTATATACTTAAAGCTGTTTGCTAGCTGCCTGTACTGCGCGCTGATGTGAGGTTTTTGTACGGCGACTGATATGCACTTTCGGCAGCGGTACCAGGCTGGATGTTGGAAGTAAGTGCGTCTCTCTGTTATATTAATGTTTGAAAATCAGTATTAACATCATATCGATAGATAGTTTTAACGAGATAAAGTGAGTTTGATCTCGTTCGGGGGAAAAAAGCAATCAACTCATTATACCGGTAACACTTCATTTGACGGGGCACAACTAATAGTATTATGCTTTTACTTATCTATTAATTAACCACTGTCTTATAGTTACATACTGATTTTATGTTTGTTCGTCATTAAAGAATTATGACGCATCTTTTACCCCAAGCAGTTACTATATTTGTACTATATCTGTTAATTCTGTAAATTTTTATGAACTAGGCCTACGTACTGAAGTGATAAATAATAACAGTGAAATACTAATCTCATGTTTATCATTTCTGAATCGTGACGCACCTTTTATTAATATAATTGTTTACTATATTTGTTAATGATTTTTTCATAATTTGTAATGCAGTAGTATTTGTGTGTTACCATTATGATTAATAACGATTATCGTTGTTCTGTAAACACAGCTTGGTAGTTTAACATTTGCGATGCATTTTTCATGGTGTGTTCAGTAGGATACATTACAGTATTTCAAGCAGTGTCTAAGTGAGTGAATAAAGGATCCTACGTGGAAAATAGATCTTAATCTAATATAAACAATGCGGTTATTATATAAAGTTAGATTATTATAGCCAGTCGACCATAATAATCAGTGAATCATATTTACATACCTCACGTGTTAAAAACGTTCATTTGAAAGACCCACATAAAGATGAATACACTGTGATACAGTAGGAAGGCAACATTATTTACTTTAGATATTACAGAAATTTCTGTCTTATCATATGAAGAAATATTTATGAAGTCATTGACTCAGTCAACTATGTCATACTGCAGTTAGTATATGTTGTTATACTTAAAGTTTGCCTTGGACTCTGACCTAAAGTATCTTTGGTGTCCCCTAGGTAACAGAGCCCCCACCCTGACGGTCCTGCCCCCCTCCAGTGTGGAGGTGTCCAGCAAGAACTCGGCCACCCTGATGTGCCTGGCCAACAAGGGCTTCCCCTCCGACTGGAAGCTGAGCTGGAAGGTGGACGGAAACAGCAAATACTCAGAGACGAGCCGCGGGCTCCTGGAGAAGGACGGCCTGTACAGCTGGAGCAGCAGCCTGAGCCTCACTGCGGACGAGTGGAAGAAGGCGGGCTCAGTGGTCTGTGAGGCCCATCAGGGCTGCCAGGCTCCTGTCACTCAAATGCTGAGGGGGGGCGACTGTTCAGAGTAGATGAGCTCAGCGTCACCTGTGATGAGCGGCTGATTACTGTGTTTTTACTGTGCTGTGCTACACGCTTCAGATTTACTGATTTCATAGAGAAAATAACGTGCTTTGTTTGATCCATGAGTGAAAATCATTACTAATGTTTTATAGGCTTTTGTGTCTCCTTGTATTATCTTGTGTGTTTTATTCCTGAATGCTGCAGAAATAAATAAATATTTCATTCTCTCTGACAAACTAACTGTCATCAATGCTGGTTATTTTAACAAGCACACAGTGATGTCATCATTTTCAGTAATTTCAGCAATTTTAAAATGACCTTTCAGTAATTTTAAAGACTTTTAAAACCTGAATATAAACACTCTTCTGTTTTACTGTCAAAAATACGAAATCATCCCATTGAGGGACTTTTATTTTGGGTTTGAAAAGGTTCATACTGAGCAGTTCCTCTACACTGAGCTTATAAACCACATCATGGGTTCATTCTTCATAAAACAGGTTTGAAAACAATCAAACACATTTAACATACCATAATTATTTAAAACAGAAAGTATAGCTTCTCAAGGAATATATTGTCACATTGAATCCAAAATAAAATAAATAGCGAATCAGCCATGGCATGGTGGTGCAGTGGTTAGCAGTGCTGCCTCCCACTAAGAAGGTCCTGGGTCCTTTTTGCTTTTGCCGGGGGCTCCGGTTTCCTCCCACAGTCCAAAGTGTGCAGGGTAGGCTGTCTAAATTGGCCCTGTAGTTGTGAGTGTGTGTTGGTGGGATGTCCGTTGTTCCTGGGATATGCTCTGTGACCCCAGTGGGGATTAAGTGGTCACAATGATGGATGGATAGCTAATTAAACAGCAAGTTTAATTACAGTCAGTTATCATGTGAGACAATCTGTTGCTCTGTGATACGGGCTGAGCCCCCACCTCACTCTAACCCCAGGGGGACTGGGGGACATTTGCCTGCTCTATTCTGGGGGCAGCAGAACTGTCCTGCTCAGTTTATGCAAATACGAGTTTCACTCCAATGGCTGAGAGTTTAAAACAGGCTGGACTGGGGCAGCTGTGAGGGGGAGGGACTGACCCCATTTCTGATCAGGGGACAGGAAGCTGAAATGTCAGCTACTCACTGGGTACATCAGTACTTTTTAAATTATTCTATAGGAACAGTTTATTAGTTACCTGCTGCAGATGTAATCCCCCCCACCTGGATTTTTTTTAACTCACCCTAACCGTAATGCTGTCTATGCTTTCTGGGTTTTATATCTATATATCGTTAGTCGGTTCACTCCTTTTGTGATCTGGACTTGTTTGATCAGCTCTGGTTTCCACTAGGGGTTGCAAGTATCAAATATTTTGATATTCGTTTTGCCTAAGAGTTGTTTCAGGAAGTGCATTGTTGAAAAAAGGCTTCTTTTCAAGACAAAACATCAACACTGAAAAGTAGGTACTCTTACTGTGCTAAACATAACATGCAAGCTAACCTAAATAATCTGACAGAACTCGCCGATGCACCTGGGCGTTTCAAACGCTCTTTCATGCACATCCTGCTGTTATGTCACGCTGGTTTAGTTTAGCATATTTCACAACGCATGTAACCACTTCCCAGCTACTGTATGTGAAAAACTCCAGACCACCCACTGTCTGTGCCATTTTTGACCGCCTTAATTTCCCTGCCTTTTCCTCTCCGTTTGAGGTGACTTGCCACTAGGTGATACCCCGTGTTAATAGAACAGACTGTCACCATTAAACCTTATTGGAGTTAATTCGAATCATTTTCATTTTAAAATTTATCAAAAGTATGAATGTTTGCTGCAGTTCAAGTTTTCATTTTTGGCTCATTTTTTATTTTCATGTTTAACTGTTTTGATATTCTAAATATATTTTATATAAGTATTTTATATAAAATACATATTTATATAAGCCTTGTGCCCATAGCCTCTGTGATAGACTCCGGACCCCCTGCAACCCTAAATAGGACAAGCAGTTATAGAAAGTGGATGGATGGTATTACAAATACTATGCTTTTGTGTCTTTGTACAAAATTTTCACTTTAAGATATTTTAACTATGTCCATCTACTGTCACAAAAGCCTCAGAAATATCTCTTTCTACCATATATTTGGATATAAAGTAGTCAGTCTCACTGTCACACTAGTTGAGTGACGTTAGATGAGATTTACTTACCCAGTGTACATTGGGGGAACCTGACAGAGTGCCAGTTCCAAATATGTGTATGTAACGCCCTATACAAATGGGTGGATATGTTACAGGGAAAAGTGGGGAGTTTGTGGGTGTTAATATTGCGGGGTGACGTTCATATTATGCCCGATGCACCTGTGTGTGAGTGTGGTTTTAAATGTGTTCTTTTCCTATAGGTGAGATGTTTTTTCATGTTGGAGTTAAGTTGTTTATGCACTGAATGTATTAGTGTGGCATTCTGTTCAGTGGAATTCACAAATTGTATTGTCATGACGGACACTATTATGGGGTGGGTGTATTTTATTTTGGCCAATCATATCTGTTTTAGAGGGTCCCGGAAGAAGGTGTGCGTGTGCGTGGCGGGAAACAACGAAGGGAGAGCTGAAGAGAGCGCGGGGTTGCTGTCGGCTGATGGGTTGCTGTCAGCTGATGGGTTGCTGCAGAGAACCTGTACAGGAGACTTTTCCCAGGACAAAACAGATGGAAGCTGGATAGTACGGCGAACTGGTCTGATTTGGGGTTCGAACTGCAACATAATAGTAATCCAAGCTTCACTGGGATTTTTTGGGTTGCTGGACAGTCACAGGGATCAGGGTCAAGATCAGCAACATTTTCGTGTTCTTCTTCTGGCGTTTTAATTGGTGGTTGGCAAACAACAAAATGGTGCATTAACGCCACCAACTGGTAAGGAGTGTGGATCAGGATTCTAATGTCTACCTCAGTCCCCCCAAAAAAAATATATATACACACACACACACATCACCTTAAATCCTCCCAAGGAGTCCAGTCAACCGAAGGAATTGCAATAAAAAAGGGTGACCCAACACTTTGTCAGTATGTACTATACTTTAATCTTTTCAAGGTTCCGGATAAGAGCACTTCTTTCCGTTTCATACTTCCTACAACGCACCATAATGTGCTCCACTGTCTGTCTGACCACAAAAATCACAATTGCCTGTATCGTGTTTCACTATTCTAAATAGTGTGCTGTTCAGTCCAGTATGTCCAAACCTAAGTCTTGATATTATTATGTCATCTCTTCTCCTTCTCCCCACCCCTCTCATCCTGCCCACAGTCCTTTAAAAAGTACCATTAAAAGTGAATGAAACTGAAGTCATCTGCCAGTATTGCAAAGCAGAACTTAAATATCAGCACAGCACAATGCAATACAATTACATTTTAAAAGAAGATATTCAGGTTTGACAGACGCGCCCAACAATGTGAGGTTAGCCATAGATATATGCCAGTTAGCTTCTCGGAGTAGCCTAGCCTGTCTTTGTCATCACTTTGACTTTAATTATTTTGCTTAACTTACTTTCTATAATTGCTGTATATCAAAATAATCACTGAAAACTAAGGTTATTAATTAATATTCATTCTTTTTTGTGTGAATGTATTGTGCGTTGGGAATGAACAATACTACAAAATGTTCACATTGCGATATTTGTAGTTTTTGTGTTTATTTAGGAGTTGAAAATTATATATAACCAAATTGAAATTATCTAACAAAGCCTCGCAAAAAAGTCCATGTATCCATAATATAGCTGATATATGTGATCCAAGCATTTCAGAAACTATGGCTAAATATGACCTTGAATTTGAGGATAAAGAGAAAAGACAAACTAGAACAGGATAAACTTTACTACTGCTGAATATATAATTGCAACAGTATGCATAGTACTGCTGCAGTAAAGCACAAACGTTCATTGTTGCTGCACAAACCAGAACAGACAAACAGAAGTCATTTTCTTATTTTCTGATCATATGGGTGCCAGTGTCATGCAGGTATTTGAAACTGGGTGGGATGAGAATAGATTGAGTTCATGAAGAGAACTTTATGAGTTCTACCCTTTATCAAAATGAAATGCTAAAGTTGAGATTATTTGATGAGATCTCTTCTGAAACTTAAATGAAGCTGTTATGAGATTGTGTGTGTATTTTTGCTGTGGAAAAAATGAGAGACAGGAGAAACTAATCATCGTCTGATTTTGGTGTCACACAGACCTCATACTTGTCTAGGAAAAATAAACAACTTTGAGATCTCTTTTCTGATTGTCTTTTCCTCAGGGTTGGCATCCTTAGTTTGCAATGTTGACACCACCATGTTTATATGAATGTGCAGAAACTAAAATTAAGACATCCCAAGTCAACTTATCAAGCTGATAATCACCTTCATAATTCCATTTTAAGATGAATGCGACAATCAGGGTTTGTTAACCTGGCTCTGTCAAGTTAAGTCTGTGGATGCAAAACTCACTTCATACTGCTCCACACAGGAGGGTGCACATAATTCAGGGGATTAACTGGAAAGTTTAGGGATGGGGTGAGGTCAGGGATCAAGCCCATCTACACACCTGCGAGCAACTGTTAAGGTTATGAAGACAGAGAGAGAGAGAGAGAGAGAGAGAGAGCAGGAGCAGTGGTCCAGTCCCCTGGGGGTTTCCTGATGGATGCTGTCTATGAAGAATTATTGCTGCAGATGGGATCAGCAGTAATCTTACCCAGGGCCAGGAAACCTCAGTCACAGCATCACTGGTGGCCCTTGCTGCAGCCAGTCACAGTGGGTCTACAGTTAGATGTGGCTCCTGTGGAAACTGCTGATGGTCAATTCCATCTGACAGTTCAGTTTTATTCTGATTCTCAATATTTCTGTTACCCATGAATTCATGACGATTGTTCAATTTACAACGGTCTTTTTTTCAATCATAAAGAAGTTTACACCTTCTGCTAGTAACTGATGTTGTATTCTGTTAATTAGTACCACAACACTATGATGTTCAAATCACTGTCCTCCTCAAATGATACATGAATAACTAACAGCTTAATACAAACAATCGTGCAATACTTCCATAAACACCAAAATGGGACAACGACTTCAAAATGTCATTCCAGATGGTTTGATCCCATTGGACTCCTACAGCAAGGATCCTATATTCAGTTAACTACATTTTATCTCCTACAATTATTGTTTTGTATATTTTTGTACATAACGTAAAATTAACTTTATCTCTGGGGAAATTCTTCATAAATTTATTATTAA